TTCCCCACTGACTAATAGGTGACCCTTCGTTTCGCAGTCCAGCTCCACCAACCTTCTTGTATTCAGTCTCCCCAGGTGCCCTGCGAGATTCGGCCCGTGTGTCTTACCCTGGTTGGAGTCCCTTCCCTCCCGATCCTCTCTCCCCCCTTCACGTCTCTGCAGGCAGGCCACCCCAAGGTGCCCTCCGACCTCTCCTTCCTGTCGGGACCTTGGCCGACCTTTGCTGCTAGGTTCCTCCAGCCAGCATCGGTGTCAGTGAGTTCTGCGTCAGCATTAAGTGGTACCTTCTTTGCCTTCCACACCCTTCCTTCCATGACTCTTTCCTGACCATGCACGGATCCAACAAGTTCACTCGAGGGGGGCTCCCAATAGGCTCTCCAGCCTAATGGTGTCATCCATTCCACAGACAAACCGCGCCAAGGCCTGTCCTGGCGTCTTGAAGGTGCTCCCCTTGGCTTTGTATCAGGTTCATCTTGCCCGTCTCCTCCTGGTCACCTTTCCCACCACCGCTTCGTCTCCTCCTGGTCACCTTTCCCACCACCGCTTCCTGTTCCTCTCCAGGCCTGCGGTTCTTTCCCTACTGTGAACACTGCCTTTAGAAGCCGCCTCCCCCCGCCCCCGACCAGACAGGCCCATTTAAAGGGCTCGCAGAATCTCCCAGGCCAGAGCTCGTGTCTCAGGTTACCAGCCTGTTGCCCCTCCACTGCTCTTCATCCAGTGCTTCCTCTCACTCTCCTCTTACTCACTCCTGGACTCATGGTCTAGGGGGGACAGGGCCCTGTCCTGGCAGCAATCCACAGCTGCTCACCGTCCAGTGGCTCTCCCTTGACCCTCCCAGGCTCCTCACCCTTGGCCCTGATGAATCCTCGAGAAACTCTTCCCTTGCCTATTGCTGTGTGCTGCCAAGGCAATTCCAACTCAAAAGTGACCCGCTAGGACAGAGTGCAGCTGCCATGCAGAGCTTCCCCGGCTGTCCCCGTGACAGGGGCACACTGCCAGGTCTCTTCTCCCAAGGAGCCGCTGGTGGGTTCAAACTACCAGCCTCATGGTTGGTAGCGAACACATCCCCACTGCGCCACCAGCGCCCCTCTCGCTTGACCTACACAGCCTCTGACTTACTTGCTCAGCTTTGTATCACCCCAGGATCCCGTCGTCTTTCCTTCCCTCTCTTCCCATCCCTCCACACGGCCGTAGGAGTCGGCCAGTAGTGACCGACGGCCATTTCCTTGGGAGCGCATTTGCCCTCCCGGAAGTCCTGACTTCTGTTTGGTTCCTGCCGCCGCCCACGGCTCCCCTAGCCTCCTCCCCATGGACACGCTCCCTGCTTCACATGTTACATGTCCAGCCCGGGAGCACGCGCTCCTCATTCCGTCTTTGTGTAAAACCCCGTTTCTTCACATTCTCACCCCTTCTTTGGTTGCAATCTAGCTTAGCTCTGATCTCCCTACTGACATCCCTCCTCCTGGCCCCGTCGAACGCCCTGCCCTCACCGGATTCTGCACTCGAGCCTAAATCCTCTATGCTCCCATCGTTTCAGGTATGGGCCTCCGTCGCCTGCCCTCTCCCCCTCTGGTCTTTGCATACGAGCCTCCCTGAGGCTGTCCTGTCCTTGCTCGTCAGCGCTGACACAGCCGGGGGCCCCAAGAGCAGCTGCAGCACACGCGACACAGCCCACTCTCCATCTCTCTAGAAGGCAGGGCTGCAGGGTTGTTCTCCGCAGAGAAGAGATGCCGCCTCGCTCCTCGACTTCACCCACTTCCCCTCTCATCGCTGTAACCCAATCTCTGGACACACTGCCTGACCAGACCCCTAGCAAGTCCAGCCTACTACAACGGGGAAGCTGCCTGCAACAGCTCTTATTAGTGCTCGCCTTCAGCAGCCTCCTCAAACCCTTCCTGTCCCCCCAGCCCTGGGGTGCACAACCCTCCCCTCCCCGGCCCTGGCCCCCACCTCTGCTCTCACACTATGGCCTTTACACGCCCACTGTGACTGGGGAGGCCTGTTGGGAGCTCTCACAGGAGCTCTGCCCCACCCCACCGCTCTCTGCGAGCCCAAGCTCTTCCTGTCTCATCCCTTCCTGATGTGATGCTTGCCATTCCTCTGTGACACCTTCCCTCAAGGGCCAACAACCCCAATGGTTCTTTGCTGTGCCTTCCTCCTTCCCCTTGGACTTGCCCTCGAGACACACTTGAGCACCAGCCTCTCTCCTGCCACGTGCATCAAGTTCCCAGGGGTTCCACACACCCTTTGCTGAGTGGTGTGCACCTGCGTGGGGCACTCACTGCTCGGCCTTGCTGGCTCTCCAACCCCTTTGGTTCGCCTGCCCACTGTGGGCTGCTGCAGTCAGCCTGTGCTTCCTGTCCACCCTTTCACCTCCTTTCTGACTCTGCGCCATGCTGGCCACATCCTTCTGTTTAGTCCTCATTCCAAGAAAGCTTTCCGGAATCGCCTCGTAATCCCCCCGGCCCCCCACCCCACCTTACTTAGTCACAGGCTGCCCTCCAGTGGTTGAGCCCCCACACGGCATGCCTGCACTCCAGCCTAGCCCACCCGCCCCTCAGCCCTGTGCTCCCTCCCAGCACCTATCTTTCTCCGGTTCTGAGTGCGTTTCAGATACACCTCCTCAGGACCACACCTCTTCTCTGTCAGTCCTCGCAAGACAAGCCTTGTAATGAGTGTGCATCTGCAGAATGCGTTTCTGGGTTCCCTGTGGTTCCCCCCGCCTGCTGTCATCATGGGGCGCTCCACTTGGGTTGTGGCAGTGGATTCAGTATGTTCTGTGACCCCAGAAAGACCCTCTGTTCCCGCCCAGGGTCAGCGATTCTCTCTGGGCCACCATACTAGTAGATTGCTACCAACGGATTTCATTAGGGTTCATCCTGAGAGGCCGGAACCTCCCCTCCATTGTATCAGCCATGCCTTTTAATTCAAAGTCGCCATCACATTGCAGAAACGCCCTCCCTCCTCACGGTCCTTCCTCCACACCCGCCCTGTCCTGGGGCACTTCCTTACAGGTGAACATCTTCTGTCTGTGCCTCCACAGAATCCAACTAGTTTGCCCAGGTGTGTGAGCCATCGCTGTTCCTGGTTTCTCACCCCTCACCCCTGCTCTTCCTGTACCTCGTTGAGCCTGCACCAAGCTGGGACGCAAGTCGTTTTCAGTTCAGGAGGGTCTGTCCTGCCTGCTCAGTCTGACTTGATCATGCATGACCTTGGTCCTTACAATCATCTCGTATCTCGCTTCATTTTTTCCCCTCAAATACCTCACCTGACATACTCGGTCGGTCTGTCTGAACGTCCTTCTTCCTCTCCTCCCACGCCCCCCTCCAGCCACTTAGCAACCAACTGACACCCCGTTTCTGCAGGCTCCACTGCATCCACTTGCTCACTCTCTTCAGACCTGTTCTGCCTGAAACCCCACCATGGGTGAGGCCTCATTCTGTCGACCTGTAACCTGTCCCTCTCAACCACCTCGGCCCACCAGAGCCTGCTGGGAATTGTCTGGTCCTCTTCCTTTGACTCCCACCCCCACCTGTTTCCTAACCAAAGTCTCATCTCAGTACCCCCACACTGGCACACCTGTTGTTTCCAGACTACCCCATGGCCTGTCTGACCTCCTCCTCTTGGCCCAGGTAACCTTTCTCCGCCAGCCAAGCTCTCGCTTATCTTTTGCGATCCAAACGTAGACTAAGTACACCCTCGCACGTAGTTATGGTTTTCCCAGATGGCTCAAGGGTGATGCCATACCCTCATCAGTCTCACGCGTACTCTCACTTAACTCCGACGACGCCTGGAGTCGGAGGCCATCGCTCCGTCACCTTTTTAGAGAAGTGCCTGGCAGGGAGCGCACACCGTCACACGGAACATCGCATGTCTACAGTCACTGTGCATTTGGCTGGAGGATGGAAGGATGCGTGGAAGGATGGATGGATGGATGGATGGATGGATGGATGGATGGATGGATGGATATGGCTGGTGAGGGTTTAAGGTCTAGATTGAGCAGGGGAACATCTCACTACCCAACTTGGCCCTTCACGGTCTTCGTATCTGAGCATGTTCTTTCCTCTCTATCGAAGCCTTTTCTAGGCACCCTGGTGGCATGATGGTTCGAGGGCTCAGCTGCTAACTGAAAGGTCAGCAGTTTGAACCCGCCAGATGCTCCAGAAGAGATAAGATGGGGCAGCCTGCTTCCATAAAAGTTTCCAGCCTTGCAAACCCAATAGGCAGCCCCACTCTTGTCCCATAGGGTTGCCACCGTGTTGGGGGCACATCCACAGGAGTGGACTGAAGCCTCCTAAGCCACGCCCCACATTGGCTCCTTCCTCCCTGCTTGCTCCTTCAGAGCTTCAGAAGCCAGTCTTACTTCCTTCACAAAGACTGCACTTTCTAGACATGCGCCCCACCCTCGTTTAATGCTACTTTCCCCATTCTCTTAAAGCATACAGTTGCCCACTTGCTTTTTCATCTAAAGGCGTCCAGTTTATTTTCATTAGAACCTCGTATTTAACCTGCTCCCGGTCAGCTAACATTTGCCAACAAGCGAGCTCCGTCAGGCCATCTGTGGGCCCACTGTCCAGCCCCCGCCTGAAGTGGGCATGGCATGGGCTAAGCGTGGGTGTGACTGTGATGTACTTGGTCAGGCTTCAGGGGCTCCCCACCGGCAGGGCTTTTTGCCGCTTGTCAGCCCCTATACCACTGGATCTGGGATTTTCCGGCCTGCCTGTCCTTTTGACGGCCATGGCAAAAAACAAAACCAAACCCCAAGAAGGATATCCCCAATACAAAAACGGCCTTTCGCCCAGGCCCTCTGTTTGTACTATTCCAAACCCACAAAAGAAACTGGATCTTAAGGCCAGGCTTTGTGAAATTTCCCCCGTGGCCAGCAGAGTGTGGTGTTAGGAGCAGATAGACTGCCCAGGGCCCCGCTGGAAACTGAGGCCATGCTGCCCGTGACCCAGCCTCCCTCCCCACCCCACCCTTCTCCCTCTCCCCTGCCCCAGTCGCATGCACCTTCAGCTGCACCATGAAGTTCACAGTCCGGGACTGTGACCCCAGCACCGGCGTTCCAGATGAGGATGGCTATGACGATGAGTATGTGGTGAGTGGCCCCTGGGCCCAGGGCGGGCTCCAGCCGGAGAAAGCACGTGGCATGAATGGTGGGTGGGGTTGTCGTCTTCTCAAAAGAGATCATGATGGAAGCCTGGGACTCAGGCTCCTCTGGGGGGGGCCCCCCGGGTTGCAGTTCAGAGTGGGGCTTTTCCACTGCATGACTAATTAAGAGATAGATCTACTACACCCCCTCGTTCTTTCTAGTGGGGAGGATGAGAGGGAAAGTAACATGGTGGCCATTGAGATCCATTTTATTCCAAGGGTGTGTCTGGTGCAGCAGCTGTCCACCTGCTTATAACCTAGCCAGACCCCGAGCTGGGAGGCCAGCCCAAACTGGAATGGGGTGGGGGCGCACAGTCACATGGTAACATCTGCCTGCCCATGAACGGGAAGCCTGGGCGGCTTTTTCCCTCTGGGCTCTGGGTGTTGATCTGACTGTGGCTCTTGCCCAGGGACTTTCTCTTTGCTAAGGCCTGTAGCAGTAAAGTTATCCGGACTAGAGGATTTAAAGGATTTGTCCTACGTTCCTCCCGCCAAGGGTGTGACATTAACTAGTGCCTTCGTCCTCCCGCTGAACGAGAAGGACATGGTGCCCTGACCCTGCTTGTCACCCACCAGCTGGAAGATCTCGAAGTAACCATGTCAGACCACATCCAGAAGGTGCTGAAGCCCAACTTTGCTGCAGCCTGGGAGGAGGTGGGCGATACCTTTGAGAAGGAGGAGACCTTTGCCCTCAGCTCTACCAAAACCCTAGAAGGTGAGATCCCCGTCACCGTCTACCTGTGGGTATTATGGGCTGTTACATCTGAGATAGGCCAGAGGACTCCCTCTGCCTTCCTGGCATCTTGAATCACCTCCCTCTGTAGACCGGGACCACTCTGGCATCTCACCTTGCTGACACCACCCGTTTCTGTTCGAGTAGTCTCCTTCCTCCCACCCCTTTCCGATCCCCACCAGGGCCTCTCTAACACTGTCCCTACCCCTGCTCCTTACAGAAGCCGTCAGCAACATCGTCACCTTCCTGGGCATGCAGCCGTGTGAGAGGTCGGACAGAGTCCCTGAGAACAAGAACTCCCACGCTCTCTACCTGGCAGGTAAGCCCCCATCATGAGCTGCAGGCAGAGGAAGAAGGAAGGGGTTTGAGAAACATCACTCGTCCGTCCCCATCGTCCGGCACCCCGCCCACCGCCTGAGTTCTGGTTGGACGCCCAGCTAGATTGAAACCCCTTTTGTAGCAGCAGAGTTGATTTACATACTACTCTTAGGGGCTTCCTTTCCGCTCTCTCGGTCTGAACTTCCACTTCCTGGACTCACTCCCTCTCTGATCCTACTCCAAGTCAGTACTACTGGAAACCATCTATGCACCTGGTACCTCTCGGGGAGATAAAAGGCGACCTAGAATCTTGTTTGTAGGGTTCTACGCACCCCCATAAACACAACTGTCTGGAAGAGCTGCAGGCAGCTTGGGCGCAGCAGCATCGCCGCTCAGAGCTGGTTCTGCGGCTCACCCTGGCCTTCTCCCCTCCCTGTCCTCTTAACAGGTGTGTTCAGAGGTGGCTGTGACTTATTGGTGAGGTCCAGGCTGGCCTTAGCGGATGGAGTGACCATGCAGGTGACCGTCAGAAGCACAGAGGAAACACCTGTAGATGTTATCTTAGCTTCTGTTGGCTAAGCTTTCAGCGGGCAGGATGGTGTAGGTGTGCGTGCACTGTCAGTGGGCTTGAAGCTAGTGGCGCCAGGGCCCCAGACTCACCCTTGGAAAGAGTGATGCACTGGGAGGAGCAAACTGAGCATCAGGTCAAGCCAGCGTCTGTCTGTCCTCATGCATGGGTGTTTCTGTGGTCTCCTCCCTCCTCCTTTTCGCTATACTTTGTCAGCTTTGGGTGGTCTCTGTTATCCCAGCTGCTTATTAACGTCATTAGTCTTGCTTTAATGTGCGTCTGAAAGTTCCTGGCAACGTCAGCAAATTTTTATCCCCAGGGGGGGCAGGGGGCGGGGAGCCAGAGTCCACTTTTGTCAAAATTCATTTTTATTATTAGAAAATAAACACTTATTCCACGTTCATTGTTGTTCTACTTGAAGCTGCTAATTAAAAAAAAATTGAAAAATCATCACTTACTAATCTTGTTTCGACTAAGACAATGAAACTGTGGCTTAAAAAAAAGGGGAGGGGGTTCAGCACCACTGTTCACAGATCTTTCAGAATTTGTTCTTAAAGAGGTCTGGAACGTTCCTGTGTGGGGAGCACAGGAAGGGCTGTGCCCGCGACGGGCACATGCCTCTTGTGGGGCCGCCAAGGTCGGGAAGGTAAACAATGCACATTCAGCCGGGGGACGGACGACGCCTGGTCCCGCCCCCCTCCACGAGCGCGCCGGAGGCCTGGCCTCACAGCGCCGAGGTATGAGGGGTCAGACTGTTATTTGCTGTTTGAACGGGCCTTTCTTCCCAGCGAATAACAGGACATCTCTGGCACAGACGCCATGGATGCCGTCAGAGCTCAGGAGCGGCTACTGAAAACAGCTCAGTAAAGCTCACTACGCCACCAGAGTGAAGAACCTGCTGGCTTAGTGTCCCTATAAAACGTATGTACACGCGGCGAGAGCGCCTAGTCTAAGAATACATCGAATCGCTCGACAAAGTGTCTCTATCACTAGAAGCAGCAGAGGAAGGAGAAGCAGAGCCAGGACTGGGGGAGACCCACCCTCCCTTGAGGCTGTGGGGCCGGGGACTCAGAAGCGTGCGCCCCACACAGCCACGCAAGGAGAGGGGAGGCCTCCTCCACCGCCTCGACTCCCCCACTCTAGTCTGGGGTGGGGCCAGAAAGGAGCATTTCTAGATGGTCCACAAAGGTAGCCCATAGAGGAGTTTAAAAAAAAAAAAAAGTCTTTCACGGACAAGTCCATCTGCCCCACTTCCTGCGTCAGGGAGCAGAGCAGCTCACCAGAACTTTCTGCTCACAAACGACCCAGGCCAATCCGCCCGCCCAGAGTCCCGGGTAGGGCTGGTGAACTGAGGTCACCCCTTAGTGGGAGCTTGCTGCTGGCTTGTTGCCAACGGGAAAGGGGGCTTGGGTGAGAGAACAGTGCTTAACGGCCAGAACATCTTTGGGGCACGGCTTGCTAAGTGGAGCACAGACAACAGGGAGGGTGGGTCGGGGAGGTGACACAGGGAGGCTATGCTCTCCAGCTCAGAAGGAGTTGATGAAGCCCATGTACGCATTCAAGAAGCCCATGGGATCCTCTAGCTGTGGGTAGTGGCTAATGTGGTCATCCAGAATCGACACTGTGGACCGCGGCAGCGTTTCCCTAGTGGGAGAGAACGGCATGGAGGTGAGCGTGCGGCTGGGGGCCGGTGGGAAGCACAAGCCAGCGGGCAAGCCCAGGCAGCGTCACTGCAGACGACCATACTGCAAGGAGTCAACGAGGGTGTGGCCACCTCCTCCTCCTCCTGGGTCGGGTGTCGGGCAGCTAAGCCGTTGACACATCAAGACTGGCTTTCACACATCCAGCGTCCACTGGGCAACCACTCAAAAGGCCACAGGAGCCAAGCAGGCTCCTCCTCGGCTCCTTGGGGAAATGCGAGGTCTCAGAATAGCAGACCACGCGGCGGCAGCCCACGAGAGGGGCTGTGCTTCAAAGCCAGCGCAGGCCTTTCCTGCCAGAGGGACTGCCGTTAGGGCACGTGACAGCGTGGCACATTCGGATGTGGCCTCATCTAGATTCTGCATCCCTACCCCGCAGAGCTGGAGGGCTCCAGGCTCCAGGGGAGCACAGCTGGGCTCTCCCGGCGGGCAGCTGACTGATCAGTCTGCCAGCTACACCAAGGCATCTCAGTCAGACTAAAGCAAGCAGCTGCCAACATGCATCCACCTCCACGCCTCGGCTTACACTTTTTCTTCTGCACACACCTAGGGCTAGACAGTGGCCCTGACAGTGGACCAAGAGAACGTGTAAGCGAATTGCCCCATCTGTGTGAGTCAGACGCCCTTCATGACGTGTTTTCTGGACATGCAGCTAATGAGGTCGGCAATGGCAGCTAGCTAGAGTGGCAGCCTCACGGCATTGGAGTCGCCACGGCGAGGCCAAGGTCACCGACCGAGGCCTCAGCGGAGACTTACCTGTACAGCTCCAGAAACTCTGGGTAGGGGTTGACGGGGTCCAGCGGCCCGTAGATAAAATGAACTGGGAAAGAGAAGAGGCCGAGTTACTAACCATGGCGCCATCTCAGCCAGTCTCCTGCCCACCCGTCATGAACCCCGCCTCCAAGAAACGGCTTCCTGGACATAGGTTGCTATTAATGCGAGGGAAACCTAGCTTCTGCCACGGAGCAGGCTACCAGGCACAGGCAGCGCCTTCTCACCCACATGCAGCCCTTCACCCCTCCTCTGAGCCTGGGGACAAAAGAAGTAAGTGGCCCCTCTCAAGAGTCTCTGAATTCAAGGTACTATGTCCAAGTCTCATTTCTTCAGCTTTAATTGACCCTGGGATGGAAGTGGGGCACTAATTTCCTGTTTGGGTTTTTTGAAGCATAAATCTCTGCCGCTGTCACACTGATTGTGGCGCATGATGAGCCTGTCGGGCAGAAGGGAACTGCTCCTTAGGGTTCCCGAGAGTTAAGATCTTGACGGGAGCAGCCAGCCTCATCTTTCTCCAGCAGAGCGGCTGCTAGCTTTGACCCACCGACCTGGCCCTTAGCAGCCCAACGCTTAGCCCCCTAGGGCTTCTCCTGGGCCGAGGTCCAAGTGGGTGCACAGGACCGACAGACAGCGAAAGCTTACTTGTCTTGATTTGTCGTTCCCATGCCACTGGGTGTCCCGGTGCATGTGTATCATCTGACAGCCCCAGCGGGGGCTGGTCAGAGTGGCAGCGATTTTGATCTTTCAGCCCCCTGCCCCGGAGAGCATGTCGAGATACTCACTGGGAATAGTCACCGAGGCCAGGGCCCCTACCCAGCGTCTTCGAAACTTCTTCCTCTGGTTGATGTACTGTAAGAGACTGGAGAAGACATGGGCGAGTCGGCAGGAGAAAATGGCAAGACACCTGGCGGTCCTGGGGAGCCAACCACTGGAAGGACTCCCACGTGTTTTCTTAAAACCACAGGGGCCGTGCATGCCTGGGGCCTGCTGTGAACGCATGGCTGGAGAGTAGAGCCCTAAGGACGCCCCGTGGCTTCCTCAGGCCGGCCCTGGGAGGAATGACTGCGTGCTGGTCCAGAGGAGGAGGAAGGCTGGAGCAGGCACCAACAAGGGCCGCTGGGCTCCGAGCGCACAGGTGTGGACCTCAGAGTCCTCGCCGAGCTGACTGCTGGCTGCCTCTGCTGCTGCTCCTGCAGCGCTAGGTGTACAATCAGCACACACTTAAACTAACTGCCTTCCTGTCCTCTCGTGGAGCTGGTCCTGTGGCATCAGTAGCTGCGTGAACCTCAAATAGCGTCTCTGAGGATTGGCATTTTAGTGTTGGCTTTTTTGAAAAGGAGATGGTTTAAAAAAAAACAAAGTTGCCGTCCATCCAATCATTTCCCACTTCTGGTGGCCCCGGGTAGGGGGCGGGGGGGAATGGGGAGCGGGGATGTCAGAGTGAAACCTCTGGACGGACGTGAGCCCCTTTCCCCTTGGCAGCCGGGCACCGGGCAGGTGAACCGTTTGCACTACCCAAAGATACCGGGGAAAGGAAAATACAGTGGCGTTTGTGGAAAGCTGTTATGTCTTTCCGTCTTCTAGATTAGAGTGGATTTTTAGGGATCTTGTGGTGGGGTGGGGCAAAGCGGGGAGGGAAAATGGCACCCTCTAAAGTTGCCGGCAGATCTGGGAAAGATGCCAACATCTAGGACAGCACCTTCTCTCGAGCACCCCGTCCCCAGACTAAGCTCTGTGAAAGGCGTTTCCCTCCCAGGGGAGGCGAGTGTGAGAAGGCAGTGCAAGACCCCATCGGATTGCACCCCTTCCGGGCCCTGTTGCTACAGAAAAGTTGTGAACAGGTCACCAGGCTCCTCCTGTAACTAAGGACTCCACGTTCAGCCCTGGCATAGCGGCCAACAGAGTCACCGTCGTCAGTGGCTAGTTCCAAACACAATTCATAGCTGCTGCTGCGGACTTTGGTGCCCCCGCACTTAGGCTTAGGCCTCCCCCGTGGAAGCCAAGCTGCTTGTAAAGGAGCAGGCCGGCAGGAAACACAACAAACCATCCCACCTTCCCCCTCGCGTCAAACAAAGCCTCCTGAAACCAAAGCCACGGGCTTTGCTTACCTGTCGATGACCAAGTTCCCGTCGTTGTTGCGAATTCCGGCCCACATGTCCCACAGTTCACTCTCAGAGGGCCGGGTGTATGGCCCAAAGACCGGGGTGAGGCTGAAAGAGGCCCAGAAAGGCTAGGTGTGAGCAAGGGTGTGCCCCGGGTGGACCTGCGCTGACCTGGAATGCCTTCCACTGCTTCCCTCCCGCCTTCGCCCACGAGTTCAACTGTAGCCGCTCTCCCCTGCCGCCTCATCACACAGTAGCCACCGTCTTGGCTGCCGACGACTTACCCCCAATCACTCCCTGCCCTCGAGTCAGTTCCGACTCATCGGGACCGGAAGGACAGAGTAGAACTGTCTCCGCCGTTTCCAATCACACAGCTCTTCCCAGTAGCGTGGAGCGGCGGCTGGTGGTGTCCGCTGACTTACCCTCGCGAGAAGACGAAGAAGTTCATCAGGCGCGTGAGGATGGGCGAGAGCACCCCTCCGTCTTTGAGCAGCTGCAGACAAAGAGGCCAGAGTCACACGGAGGGTCCACCGAGAGACGGCTCTCTACTGGGGACGCCTAGGGGCTCTGGCCAAACTCCCTTCAGGGGTGTCCTTTCCAGCTCTCACTAAGGTCTCCAAGACTTCATGACCCGCTTCTCGGCCCCCCAGAGACTGGTGGGACCCCCAGGACTATGTCCCTTACCCTTTAGGTCTGGAACTTAAGATGGGCAGCATTTACCAAAGGGCAAGGTTCAGAGGGTTCAGGAAGAAGGAATGGAGAGGAGGCCCAGAGGGGAAGTTAAGTAATGGTGACGGAGGGGGATTATGGTGGGAGAGTTGAAACAAAATGAATTGTTGAATGTAAAACCGATCTACTCTGTAACCTTCACTCAACGAGCACACTGAAAAGTGAAGGGGCATGGGTTTATTTCTAGCCCTCACTCCATCCTGTTTGATCCACACCCTAGACTTGGATTCCTGACTGCCTTGAACACCACCTAAATCCTTACCCCCCTGTACAGTGAACCCTCGCCACTTCGCGCTTCGACTTCCGCGGCTTCACTCTATCGCGGTTTTTGCGTAACAGCACCCACTGCCTACACCCGCTCCTTCAGAGGAAAAAGACGGCGACCCACCTGTAGAGTACATCCCTTAAGTCACTTCATAGGCTATTGATGACAGTATTTGTAAGAACTATGTATAATAATACTGTATGTGAAATATGTAATACTGTAAACTAGATGCCATAAATAATATAATAAATAATAAATGATAATTGTAACGTCCAAAATGTTTTACTGTATTTTCCCTTTTTCGTTTAATAAGTTGGGTAATACGAGTGTCATGGTGACTAAAGGGTGTTTTTTCATGTCCTCTATGCTCTAACTACGAAAATATTTGATTGACAAATAAGGAATCCTACTTCGCGGAGTTTCATTTATCACGGTAGGGCCTAGAACCGATTAACCGCGATAAACGAGGGTTCACTGTACTTCTCCAGCTATTTACTGATCTTTTCTTCTGGGAAACCGGCTTAGGCTGAACATAAGGGCCATTCCCATTGCTTTCCTTGCATCAGAGGGCAAAAAATTAAATTCTCTAGTGTCAACTTGGGGAGAATTTTAGCTCTGGCCCCTTGTCGAGACCCAGCCCTGTTTCACTGCAGACACGGAACAAAGCCCGGCAGCCACACAAAGGAGTCGCCAACCTTCTGAAGGAGGAGCGGACGGTGAGTCTCAGGAAAGATACCTGCAGAGGGGAGAAGAGGCTTTGCTTAGCCTTGGACCAGAAGCTCTCAGGCCAGCCCAAGCCAGGATCCAAGGCATCTTGTCTCTGCTGCCATAGCAGAATCGCCAATCAAATAAAAGCCTGGTACAGTTAGCCGGTTACTGTTCTAGGAATCCAGAGGGCGGCACACTGGGACCCTGTGGCCCATGTGGGAGGTGGACCCCAGGGCAGTTTGCAGGGACAGCCATAACTTGGATGACTGGGCTCGGGCCCCCTCGGTGTTTCCCTCACGGAAGGAAACCCCACCCCAAGAAGATGACGGGTCCGTGAGCTGGGATGCGAAAGCGATCAGAAAGAGGGTTTTTAGGAAGCCTAGGCCTTGGGAGAGGCCTCCCATTTGCCCTGGCCCGTTTTCCCCGTCAGGAGGGAACGTGGCTGATGCAGGGGCAGGCCAACTCCCGCCTCAAGGCCCACCTGATGGGCTACTTGCAGGGTATCCCGCAGTCTCTGGGATGTCCTGGGTCTGCAAATGGGGTTCAATGGCACACCCAGGGAAGAAGAAAACCTCAAGAGGTCTGAGGTCTGCTGGCTGCTGGCTGAGACCTGGCAGCAGCGGCAACCAGTTTAGGACTACCTGTTGTGATCACAGCTGTCCATCAAAGTCGCACCTGTTGCCAAGAGAGCTTTCTGCTCATCGTCCTCGGGCACCCGTCCCCTCTGTGTGCTGTGTCGTGTGTTCCCTATATAAAATCACTGTCCCGAGAAAGTGTGTAGAAGCAGCCTCGGTCCACTGCAGTGTTTCCATGGTGAGGAAAAGGTGTGAGCCCCTTATGGGATAGGCAGCCACCCAAAGGTGCGATGGTTAAGATGCTCAGCTGCCAACGGAAAGGCCGGCAGTAGGAGAAAGCAGGTGGGAGGTGGGGAGGCCTTGCTTCCAGGAAGATGTGCAGCCTTGGAAACCCTCGAGGGCCATTCTGCTCTCACATGACGTCACTCACGAAGGGTCGGAAATCGGGGTTCTGGTGGCACAGCGATTAAGCAGTCCACTGTCAACCGCCAGGTGGGCAGTGCAAGCCTCACAGCTCCTTCGCACTGTGCATGTGCTGGGGGGGAGGTGGGAACCTCCTGCTTTGGAGCCTGACTGTGTGCCACAGTAGTGGGTCTGTGGGGTGGCATCTAGAGGTGGCCCCTGTAGGCTGTGCCCCACTTTCAACCCGCCACCACCAAGGCCATTACCTCCATTGGACAGGCAGAGGCTCTTGATGGTAAGGCGCCCAGATCGATTCTGCTTGTACCTGGGGACAGAGTGGGGAGGCACATGTCACTCGGCGGGCTCACGCCAGAACCTTGGCCGGAGAGCACCCTGGAAGCATCCTTTTCCCTCTCCCGCGCCCCTACACTGACCTGTAGAGCAGCTCCTGAGCCACGATGTCCCCGTAGTCGTGCGACAGGAGGTTGACCCTGCGGTTCTGGAGCCCCAGGTGCCGCAGAAGAGCCTCCACGATGCTGGCCTGCTCGAATATGGAGTAGTGGTGCGGTCTCTGTGGAGACAGAAGCCAGGACCCCCGTCAGGCGTGCAGGGGGCTGCCAGCCTGCCCCTCTGTCCAGGCCCCACCCCCACCCCGACCCAGCAGAGACCCAGGAGACGCAGCTCACCGGCTTGTCACTGAAGCCGAAGCCCAGGAAATCAAGCGCCACCACTCTGTGAAACCTCAGCGTCAGACCTTCCCAGATCTGTGAGAGGAAAGGAGCGGATTCGAACCTGCAGCCCGGTGGGAGCATGGCTCCCTCGTGGGACAGGCAGACGTGGCCATGCCAAGAATCTAAGGTGTGCTCCAGGCCGTGGACAAGTACAGAGTCCACAGAGGGAGGGACCGCAGCCCGTTGCTGCCTGCCTGCCATTGCTCTTTCTCAGAAAGCCAGGGCCTCTCGCCCCAAGAGTAATGCGAAACAGCTCAACCCGCAGTCTGACTTTGATTAAGCAGTTCAAATTAGCGGGGTGGGGGGAGCCTTCTAGCACTGACAGTGCAATAGTGGGCGTTCTAGAATCCCCATCCCATTACCTTGTACCAGTCATAGCTGGAGGTTGGAAAGCCATGCAGGAGGACGACGATCTCTGGACTGCCCACCACACCCACGGAGTCTGGAAGGAAGGAGGGGAGAGGAATTGGGGTGAACCTCAGACAAGAACCAAGCAGCGATTACAATGTAAGGCGCAGGGTCTAACGGACTCCACAGCCGTGACCACAGTCACAAAAGTTCCATGGTACATTTCTTTGTGACATGAAAGGTGGCCGAGTCAGGTGGGAGCAGGCATGGGGTCCTCTATATTCTCAGCGAATGTGCATATTGAAAACTGTGGGAGGGGCCACAGTAATGGCAACGATGCCCCGAATATTATTTTGAAAACACTAGCATGCCATTTGCTTTCATCTTTATTCAGCGTTATTAGCAATAATATGCAGATGGTTGTTTAAGGTTAAAAGGAAACAGCAGCACAAGGTACAATCCCAACAGGTCAAAGAGATGCTATGCCCTATCACTAATGACCTCATAAGAATTCTCTAAGTTAGAACCCCTCTCCCCCAGCAGACGGCCCCTTGATTTATGCTCTTTGTCCAGCATTTTTATATCCAGCAGATACTGAAGCCCCAATTCAGTATCAAATCATAATGTCCCAACGATCCCAGATTCTACGATCTAAAGGCTTAATTAATGCAGACACAAGCCTTTTAAAAATACACATGAAAAAGGGATTATTAAACAACACTTAAAAATTAGCCAAGTCAGGCTATTGGGTGGGTGGGTGTGGTGTCTGATAAGTTGTTTAAGCCATTGAACACAAAAGCCCCCCCCCCACCTAATTTGCAATACCTAGTTTTTGTTTTAATAAAACGAGGGGGGAAATCAGCCAAGTGTTCCGATAGTAAAATACTGTGCTTAGCTGGATTAAAATGGAACCAATTATGTACTGAATTTAGTCAGGTTTTAGTTGGGAATCATTACACGATGTGTTGCTATTTTCACCAAGTCTTAGGAAAGATTCCGTGGAAAGAAGACCATCCCGTTATTAATGAGTATGACTTAGGAAAATAAGGAGGAAACACACTTCCCCCTGTGAAGATTTCCCTGAGAGGCAACTAAAAAACACTGAACACTGCTGCAGCCAGCCTACCAGAAACCACGCCAAGCTCGCTGCCACGCGTCAACTCAGACTCAAAGTGACCCTGCAGGGGCAGGGTAGAACCGCCTCCGCGGTCTCTGAGACTCTGAATTCTTTCTTTACGGGAGTAGACAGCCACGTCATTCTCCCGAGGAGTGGCTGGTGGTTTCAAACTGCTGGCCTGTGGCTGGCAACCCCATGAGTCACCGGGACACCAGGCCAACCTTTAGAAAAGGGTTTACTCACGCAACCGCAGCGAGCCCTTGGGAGGAGGTCAGGAGCAATAATGAAAAACGGTTTATGACAAACATTTTTCGTTATTGCTCTTGACCCCCGCCCAAAGCAGTCTTTCCCCCAGCCTTCTGTTTTCTTCCCCTGTAGGCTGAGGTTAGTGGCGGGCGCCTGGATCCGAGAATGAAACACGGCAGGTGGCACTGGCATGTGGCACACATACTCAGTGAGGAATGAGGTCGTCGGAGTAACAATGGTCATTAGCACCTTCGTTTATACAAAAACATCAACCTTAACCGGAAACTCCCAAGCCAACCATAGCCCAACCAGGATCTTATCATTAAGCAGGTTCACAACTTTTTTTTTTAAGAGAAAAAGGTCAACCGCTAAGATAACCGAGTTATCTCCCTGGGCGCCCAACCCCACCCATAATTCTCTTGAGTCCCCCAGCTCTCAAGCATGAGGGCAAATCGCCCATTCATCCCCCTCCATCGTCCATGGACCCAGAAGAAGGTCCCCAAGGAACCCTAGGACCGCTCCGTGCCACCGGTGGGTCGGCAGGCCTGTTCTCACCTTGGTAGAAGATGCGCAGCCCCTTGTAGGTGAAGAACTTGCCGGTTGACTTCCAGGAATGAAGGGCTGGGGAAGGCTGAGGTGGTGGGATGTGCAGGTAGGCGGCCAGCAGAGGCACAGCCAGCAGCCCCACCTGCACCCACCACTCCCTCACCCTGCGGAGAAGCAGAGAGCAGGGTCAGTGGGTGGGGGCTACTGCCCACTCTATGACCATGCTGATGCAGCTGGAGGGGGAGCAGGAGGGGGGTCTCTGGGTGATGGGAGGAGGGAATCGAGTTTGCCAAGAAGGACGTCATCACACCTCAGCAGTCACCGCATTTGCTCACCTAATTGGGGGGGGGCGGGGAGAGAAAGTATGATTTTTTCTTTGTCATCCTCCCTCCGCATTTCTCTACATTAACTTCACAGCTTCTTCCATTGTATGGGTGCCCCCCCACCCCATGTCTGAAGAGGGTTGGGTTTTTTTTGTAAAGTCAAAGGAAGATGACTTAATGACTGGAGATTGCAGACCTCTAAAATGGCTTTTATCAGGATTGAGGGAGGCGAGGCGGGGTATCTTCATTTCTCTCACACTTACTAATTCCACCATCTCCACACTGGCCCCCAAGGTTAATTAAGCTATGGGGGGGTGTTATTAATGTGTGTGCGCATATGTATATTCTAATACCACAGGCCTTTAAACAGACTTCGAGTTTTGGGGGTTTGGGGTTTTTTTATCTCCAATGCCCTCTGGCCCCAGTGAAGCCCCAGTTGTCCCTGTGAGACGTGGGGGGCTACTCAGGATGCAGTCTGAATTCGAGGCCACTCAGGGCAGCCCCATGTAAGTAGCTTGGTCATAACCCCGAAAATCTAATCTCTTGAGAGGTCAGGGCAGCAGATTATTCGTCTGCTTGTCTTGGCAGGTTCTTGAGCAAGTTCCCATTTCTTTTATTTATTATCACATTCCCCCAAGGTAAAAAAGGAAAGGTGGGGGTGACTTGGAAGGTCGTGTTCAGACACCACCCAGGGGTTTAGTTTCGCCTTTGAAAACATCAAAGACTCGGGGAAATAGCCCAAAGCCCGGCCCAGTGCTACCAGAGGCTTAGGACAATTCCGCACATTGCAAGTTCTCGCATAACAATGCCTCTAAAACAAAAGTTAGCGTTGGGGGGCCGGGAATTATTTGGTAAAGGGGAGGGGGCATCGCAAAAGCGCTGGCAGATGGCACTGTAGGCGGATACGCCCTTTCACCACTTTACCTGTTCCCAGCCCCAGCCGCAACCAGCGCGCGCCAACGCACACAATAGTTGGTGCGGGTCCACCGCGTCTCTGCGTGCTCGCCAGGGCCGTGTGCGTGAGTGAGTGCGTGCGTGTGTGCGTGCGTCTGTCCCCTCCGAGGTTTGTGTCCGCACAGCAGACCCCAATGCATCTCGCCCTACCGTTCAAGGTAATACTACAAAGGATTGAAATGTCGCAGAGCCCAAGTGCCGGTGTGTAACACACTCCCCCGCTTGCGCCCCCCGCCCCCCATTTCACTCCACACGCGCAGCCGGCTTCGCGCCAACACTGCCGTGAACGGCAAGCTAACAAAAAGCGTGCGGCGCCGCATTCCATCTTTCTCGGCCCTGCCAGCGCACGGTGCCCGCTCGCCTGGCGCCCCATTCATTCCCGGACCGCCGACCGCAGTGACGCAGCAGAGCGGCCAGGCAGCCGGGGCGCCCCGCGCAACTCCCGCTCGCACGCCGAGTCACCCCTGTGCGAACGCCCCGAAAGACATTTTGTAGGGTTTTCAGTACAGAAGCAATCTGGCGGTCGATAAGCAGCACCGATTACACGTTTTTGGACGCGAATGTAGCGAGTCAGAAGCCAGGCGAATCGATATTCACACACCCCTGCAACAAACCTTGGGGACATTAATCAACCTCGCGGCGCCGCAGCTGCTTCGACCTGGAAGTGGGGAAAGAATTATGTTTCTGTAGGGTCACCGCGCCTGCCGACCCCCGGCCGGCGCGCTAAGTGACTCCGTGCTCCGGGACTCGGGCGCGCCACCGCGGCTCGGGTAAGCTGACGACACTCTGGTCACAGCGCCATCCTCAACCGCGCTTCGCGTTACTGAAATCTGAAAAACACTCCTTGGTGAGGTTTAGAAAATGTAATCACATCCCTGCGAGAACTCCCGTGGGGCGACGCCGAGGTCCAGAAACCTGAATTCGCACCACGACAACGCCCGGGTCTAAAATCCCTCCACCGCGCGGCGCCAAGTGATACCAGGGGCTGGACACCCGAAGTCACGCCGGACACCACTGAGTTCTTACCCGGGCAGGACCCACCGCCCACCGCGAGGGACCCCCAAACGGGAATCGCCTACTAGCCGGTCCCGATCTCAATT